GTCCAGTTGCTACGATTAATCTACCCGAATATGAAGGTGAAAGAATGCCATCCTGCAAACTTACTTTATATGTGTGTTGAACAACATGTCCTGGTCAAAAATAGCTCTGAGGTTCTTTACAATAGAACTGGAGACCAAGGCAATGCCATCCAGAGCAACTATCTGGTATGACAGGGTGTTTCTGAGATGTTTAGGGCCAAATACAATATCTGCTTTTTTTCTGGATTTAAATGAAAACATTACAGGTCATCCAGGCCTTTATGTCCTTCAGACATTCCTGGAGTTTGACAAACTGATTGGTTTATTTGGCTTAATAGATAAATATAGCTAGGTATCACCTCCATAATAACACTTCAACTGTATGCAGTGCTTCCTAATAATATTGCCGAAGGGGAGCATGTACAAAGTAAATAATATTGGTCCAAATACAGAACCCTTGGGAACTCCATAGCTAGCTCTGGTGTGAGTAGAAGAATCATCATTAGCATGCACCAACTGGAATCTATCTGACAGATATTATTTAAACCAATTTAGGGCAGTTCATATAAGCCCAATTAAACATTCCAGTCTCTGTAATAAGATGCTGTGATCCACTGTATCTGCAGGTAATTCCATAATTGGCACCTACAGCTCCATTAAACACCAGGGGCCTCTTTTATAAAACATTGTGTATGCACAAAATGGGGCTTGAAAAATACATACACCACTTCCCATGCAAACATTGTGATTTATAAAAAATAAACTTGGCAGGAGAATGTGCACACCGGTCAACTTTGATCCTTGTTGATCCCCGTTTTGGAGCCAGATTCATCTCATACATTTAATGTCATCACATATCAGACTTATAGATCCACTTAATCATAAACACCCAGCCTGCAGTATTATAGATGTGTTCCTTGCGTGAGACATTGGGCCTACTACTGTGTTTGCAGCACTATGTCCATACATCATACTTCCATCTTCAAATGATATAGAGTGGTGGATAGCACTGATTGATTATTAATCACGACAAGGTGTCTACAACCAGTCTAATTGCTGAGTAAGCATATAAATAATGCGGTGACAGCCGTGCATAATGTTGCACAATGGATGCGCTGGCACTGCTTGAAGACTTTGCCAATGGTAGGATCAGCATGGAGAGAGTTTTTAGGAACCATGATGATTTCCTGGCCCATGATGCTGACTGGCTAATAAGCCAGATTAGATTCCCTAGAGCAGTGCTCTTGGATCTATGTGTTGAACCGAGTCCAGTGTCAGACAAACCGACCCGCTGGAATTGCGCCATCCCGACACATATGCTTTTAACAAAGGACTCAAACAATAGCTAAAATTAAAACAGCAGTGCTCACAAAAATTGTTTTAACTGGTTGATTGCTTGACCATGTTGCCTTTGCTTTGTAGCTTATATATGTTTTTAACCTGTAAAACTGCCGCTCTTTAACTGTTGTAATGTTCTTGTACACTGTATGTCTTTCTTTTTTTCTCTCTCTCTACTTGTATTACTTTTATCATTTTAAAAGCCTCCTGTGGACAAGTGTAGCAAATTAGCACATGTGCTAAAACACTCAAACAATCCATCTGATTTGTCCAATGCAGTTGTGATGTCCACAAACAATGTTAAATATATATATATATATATAAAACCACCTTCTTCATCCTCCCAAAGAGGCGATCCACCTTATTCAACGTGATTCCTTTTTGGGACGCTAAATTTATTGCATGTACAAAGCACCCTATCTGTGGGCCCAGTCCTGCCTCATTCACTGCATTTATTTGGTTTTTAGAGTTATCTGTTGTGACTGGGATATTTGTATTGGGTCTCTCTATCTTCCATTCTGCCACTGCTTTTGTCAGTACCTGCGCCAGGTTTGTGCCTGTGTGTAAGCTTCTGCAGCACAGGGCTTCTCATCTCCCACTTCGCTGTGATGTAGTGAGGTCCACCAGCCTGTGGTGAGTGCAACAGAGGATGCCTGGGACAATTCAGCAACAACTTTTGTCTTTTCCTGCTCATAAAGACTTGGCACCATCTTTCACTGAAGTGGGTGCGTGACAGAATCTCGTAACGTGGCTCAAGCACATTCAGCATATGTAAAATGTAAATCCCTTGTTTTGTGCAACGGAATATGGCCTCATGTCTGCAGCTATAAACACCCCAATAGCTTTTGTTATAGCTTTAGCCCGGTCATGACACACAAAACTTTTTTTTTTTTTTACCAACCAATCCGCATGTCGAACCGTGAAGAGATCTGTACAGATCACGAATCAACAATGATCTCTTGCACCACTAGTGGCTACCCCCTAAGGCGCTGGCTCACCCTTTTTACCAGCCCGCAGAGTGAAGAAGAGGTGCATTTTAATGTGGCCCATGCTTGTGTGTGCTCCACTGTAGAGTGAGCCATCGGCCTCCTAAGAAACCGGTGGAGGTGCTAAGATGCCTCGGGGGACATATTGCTGTATCACCCAACAAAGATGTGTAGAATCATCAGGACATGTGGTGTTCTGCACAATGTGGCACTGAGGAATGCCATTCCCCTTCCACCTGGCCTCCCTCCCCCACACCATGAGGACCCCCACCCAGTGCAACCTCTCCAACATGAAGAACTTCAACAGGGAGCAAGGCTCCGTGAAGGTGTCATGCATTGTTTGGAATGAGACAGCAAGTATTTTTAATTTCGACCCAGTCTCACGGCAATTTGTGAAATAGTCACAAAACTTAATCTATTGATTCGTGTGCAGGGACACGAATTGCCCAGTTCATGTCATGTTTAGCCCTAATTTTCACCCCTCTCATTTTATTGACTAAACATGATGCATCATTGGAAATGACTTGATCAGAGGAGTAAGATTATGTCAATCTGGAACTTCGAAGTTGCTCTTGCTCAAAGATATTAACCTTTGAACTTTGGAGCATCTTTTAAAGCGATAATAGATATGAACGATATCGTTGGGATCACTTTCAGATTGATCATAGAACAGCTTCTCTCTGCCTGGATATGTTTTGCCTTTTGAATGGAGACGGAGCTTATAAGCAGCTAGAGCACACGGTAGGCCACCTACTCAGTGCTGGTGTCTACAGAATGTTAACGTTGGTCAGTGTGGGCACACACATCTGTATAGTGATCTCTATAGTTATTCGTGTGGATGGGCCATAATAGGAAAATTGGTTAATGCCTGACTATCAGAAGAAAAGAACGACAAAAATTTCACAGCTGTGAATATGTGCTGTCTAATGCGGGAGAAACGTGTCCCAGACACGAAAGATAATTCCAATTGAAATGTATTGGTAGTGGGGGACATGAAAAAAAAAGAAAGTTGAGCAAATCATGTCCCTGGACATGCATCAATAGATTAAGTTTCGTGACTATTTCACAAATTGCCGTGAGACTGGGTTGTTCATTTTTTAACAAGATCTTTAATGGAGCTGGCAATTTCCAACATGACATCACCCGTGTTGGTCATGACTGCACGTATTTTTTTTGAGTTCATCTGTGACCCCACTGAGTGATGGTGTCCCTCTGCCTTTGCAGGACCGTGTCAGTCAGGACCCAGATACTTCCAGCTGGGCCATGTGTTCAGGCCACACTGGTGCTGGAGACAGCAATGCCTTCAGCCACGGTGCCAGGACACGCCGTGCCGGGTACCTTCTCATCACCCACCACTTCAAACTCTAGAGTGACTGAGGACACAACATATAAGTTCATTGTGCCTTTCCAGAAGTCTCTGTTGAAATATTTTATTTATACATTTATCTAACAAATAAAACTGTACTTTACTGGTCTCCTCCGTGGTCTCCGCCAAATCTGTGTCTTCGTCCTTCTCTGACACTATGCCACACAGGCTGGCCGCACCAACGATGGAAGCCATTTTGGTGTCTAGTGGTGTGGGCTCAGGCCAGGTGGGCCCTGGCCCCCAAGTGTAGCCGACACGCTTCGATGGTGCCATGACACCCTCCTCTTTGCCTCAACCTTTAGATCCGACCACTTCTTCTTGACCTCTGCCACTCACAGTATTTACAAGGTGTTGCCACTGTCTATTAATTTATTTCATTTAGGTGCAATCCCGCAGGGGAGAAGCGCACTTGGCAGCAGTTTAAGATGAAATATTAAAACACTGTTCAAGTCTGAGGTTGCAGTCTAATGTCAGTATGAATGAATGAATGAATGAATGAATGAATAAATGAAAGAATGAATGCCATTTATTGTCATTATACAGTGTACAACAAGATTGGAGACAGAACAGAACAGAATATCATTTCAAATTAATTTAACAGATCTCTACATCTCATTCACCTGCAATCCTGTATAACTCCTCCTTGATGGCTCTGACAGGTTTATGTCCAGGGAAAACAACAACGATGGGTAAAAGCTGTATCAGGGCGAGGCACACTTTTCTGACCACCCTGCATACAGTTGCCTTACTCAAGTGCTCTGCATCTCTGACATTGTACAAAAGACTTCCATTTGCAAAGAAACTCAGAGCAAAACACAATATCTAATGGGTTGTGAGAGCATGACTATGGATGGTAATGCTGCACATGTAAGGACAGATTAGGTTGTATGTAGATGATGGACTGTGATGTGAAACGGTGGTGCTCAAAAAGAGAACTGTCTGTGTGAGGACTAGCCACGAGCAGCTGGAAGGAAGAGGCTGAAAACCCAGTCTGATGTGATGGACAAGTTTTTATTTGTTCCTTTTTTTTCAATCAATAAAAGTTTTCTTTGGAGCACGTGCTGCTTCAACTGGTAGCAGCCCTAATGAAGATCCTGACAGCCCTTTTATAGCATACCACCAGGACGCTTAACCCACCACCACAGACACAGGGAGGTTATGTTCTTTTCCATTATTAAATACATAAGTTAACATTTTTATGAAGTATTTTTAAATATAATAAAATATATTTACAAACATTAACACCCATAAATAATCACTATTTTTACAATATACCCATAAAACCATAAATAAACACCTTAAACCTGAATAAAACACCCCCGCACCATTTCATCCTGTGGTTGCTCCCGGAACCTACAACAGGCGCTCGGACCCCCAGGGACGCATTTGCCCGAACACCCTGCCGGACCGGAAGCACCAGGACAGGTAGGTTGCGCAACACAAACACACATTTTACACTGTATAAACATTTATGCACTCCGCTCTACTCATCCCTTGCACCATAATGAATGCACACAGACACACACAACTCCGTTATCACGACTGTTCAGTCTCACGTATGTATCGATAACACCGGCGTTTTGCTTTACAGGTGGCCGTCAATCACCCGCGAGCGGCCGCTCCCGCGTCTGAAAGGCGAACCACGCAATCCATCAATCATTACCATCAATTATTAACTGTGCAAATGTCTGCTTGTTTTTATGTGCAAAATGGCTAATAAAGTGCTTGTTTAAAGTGCAAAGTTTCCTCAAAGTGCAAATGTGTGTTGTTAAAGTGCTCCATGATCTCTAAAACCCAGTGATATTCACACACCGCCCGTAACGAAGTTCCTCTTCGTTACAGTCTGGAAATGCTAAAACATCTATATGTGGTCTGATAACAATCTCCAGATGAATATTTAATTCTCTGCACAGTAATGCTGCACCTTCATCCACGTGATCTTTATCAGAACATGCCATGTTAATGGAAAAAGTCACCACCTACTGTGCCTAATGAACTTCTAGTATAGCCTACTGACTCTGATTTTTTTTTTTTTTTAATGATTTTTGATTGATGGCAGAACAAGGTGACGCATCCAGACCAGGCTCACCAGTCCGTCATAGATTGGCCACTATAACCAGGCAATACAGTAGGACAGCCTTACCAGTCCTCCACAGGGTAGCAATACCTCTGCAGACTTACAACAAGCCCTGTTCCCAACCGGAGTAACAAAAAAAAAAAAAAAAACTAAAGAGGATCATAGACTATGGTGTCACCAGCACTAGTCCTTATCGACTTCAATGACAAATTCCTAGAGAACTGAGAGTTGTTCTCTAATCACAAAGTGGAGAAATTCTGGTGTTCCAACAGTGACAAAGCCCTCCAACTCCTCTGTCATGAACATTTTGGTGATACTGGCAACATGATCATCCACACCCGAACAACTAACCTGCACAAACGAGGGAGGAAAATTGATAGAGGCCAACATTACAGTGGCTCAAACAGCACACAGGAAGTTTCCTCGGGCTAATATCACCATGTCAACACTGCTGCCACAGACAGACCTCCCCTGGGACCAGATTTACAATATAAACACGATGATCACCTCAGAGTGCACAGCACTAGATAAAGTCAACATTGCCCATCATCCCATTCTGACATATCAACACCTCAGTGATTATGTTCACATTCTGTCAGAACTTGGCCCTTGACCGTCAGCCTTAACAAAACTAAAATCATGATCTTCCAAAAGAAACCAAAATGTCATGAAGCCAAATATCAATTTAAATGAGGACACAGTGATCTTGATCACACCTTATTTTACGTGTATGATTATGTAGGGTTCACAGTCAGTGCAAGGTCAGTCAGGTGTTTTTGGTTGGTAGTAAATGCACAAAAACAAAAAGCATGTAAAGAGGGCATTTTCTATATTAAAAGAACATTTCACAGAAAGCGGACCAATTACAATGTGCTCTAAAATATTTGATGGTGTAGTCCTACCAATTGCACATAATAATAGTGAGGTTTAGGGTCCACAAAGTCCTCAGGACTAAACTAGATGGGGTAAGCATTCTGTAGAGGCGCTTCCGACAGTATTCTGCAGGTCCATGTTAAAAAAATCCAAAGAAAAACACTAACCAATGCATGGTGGATTTAGGCTGTGATGATTAACTCAAAAAAACAAACAAACAAAAAAAGCACACACACACATTTTGGTTGCATCTCAAATTGAGCCCTCAAGTCACACTGACCTTTTAGGCACTACGAACCCAGGAGCTGAACTCCCACAAAGTCACTTCTGTCAGCTGGATCTGAGATACACTGATCAGATAACATCCTACACTTATCAACCTCAGACCGGCACTATTTTCCAACAGATGTGTATCTGGAAAAAATAATGGAATCAAACCAAGATTAAAACAAATGTTATTGGTATCTGGCCTTAAGCCATAAATATAAATTGTCAGAATATCTCTTGAGGTTCAGAGATGCAAAGCAAAGACAGATCCTGAACAAATGCAGGCTTAGTGACCGCATTCTATCCAAAGAGAAAGGATAACACAAGAAGTCAAAACAAGAGAGTCTGTGGTCATTGCATGATTGGTGAGATATATATGGAGAAGCACTTTGTCTTAAAATGTGTCAAACAATGATTTGTAAATAAATAGGAGAGGTGTATTTTAAAAGTTAGACTCATTGTTCCCAAACTACACAGAACTGGATGACAGGAAAAAGCTACTGATTTTGTTCGGAGAGGGACATACGGCCACACACATCTTGAATTTGTGCGTGTGTGTTTCGTTTTTGAATGTAATTTTGATAAACTCTTGCATGTGCACACTTTACAGAGCAGACGGCATTTGAGACCAGATTAGGTTAAATTCAGCTAGGTACTGTTAAATGTATTTGCTCATCATCTGGAGAAAAAAAAGTAATTTTCTAACTTTTGCAGGAAAGAATATAAAGGATGCCGATCCGTTATTGATGGGACTTTCTCCTGGGTGAGGACACACTTTAATTCAATTCAATTCAATTTTGTATAGCGCAGTTTACAACATATATCATCACACAGCGCTTAACAAAGTAAGGTATAGACCTTACAAATTTAAACAGAGAACCCAACAATCCAAAGTAGCCTTTGGACTCCTGCGCAACCGGTTGGCAACAGTGGGAAGGAATCAACCCCCCCCCCCCAAGGGAGGTGGAAAAAAAACCTCCGGCAGAACCAGGCTCAGGTCATCTGCCTCAACTGGTTGGGTGAGGGTGGGGATGAGGGGTGGAGAAAACAGGATAGCAGATGAAGAGCAAGCAATAGAACAGAACAATAAATATGAAGTATTTTGGGGGTTGGTGAGGCCAGCGGCTGCGGTCAGGGACGTAAAGCTCCGGATCCAGAGATGTCCACAGAACGAACAAGCACAGGACCTCAGGAAACACA